AGAACAAGACTCTTTCTACTTTTATACCGGCGTAAACTATAGGAAATTACAAGTATGTTTTACTAAGGCGGGCTATGCTTATGTAAACACTAGAGATACAGATGGAAAACGCGTTCAAATACGTCTTAACAAATTCAAGAAGCTATATGGCATACCATTTTAAAACATTTTTTAAAACAATATATTTTTACATATATTAAATGCTTCAGGTTGAAAAACAAAGAACAAATGTAACAGATACAAAACCGTTAGACTATATCTTTACAAATGCCGGTAGGACTATATCAGATGAAGAAATTTCATCCCGAATTGTCTTTAATATATAACTACGGAAAAGTGCTGAAAAAGTATTGAAAAATACTTTTAGGGTAGAAGGTTAGATCTAACCTCTTTTCTAACCTCTTTTCTACCCTCTTGAATTTTCATGAATTTCCTTAAGATAGAAAAAAATATATTTTAGTTTTATTTTTTTTAAGTTTGGTCATCCTTCACTGTATGACAAATATACTATATTTTACTTAAAAATATGCAAGCGGCTCATAGCTCAGTGGTATGGGCTACCTCGCTACAGACGTCGAAGACCTCGGTTCAAATCCCGATTCGCGCAGGTTTTTTCCTTTTATGCAGTGAAATTTCATGTACATAGTTACTTTGGTGTTAGACCTAGTGAAGAAAATAGAACGATATAAGTTTACATTTGTAAGGTTACTTTGGTGTTAGACCCTAGTGAAGAAAATAGAACGATAGGAGTTTACATTTGTAAAGTTGGACGATAAAAATCTCTGCTACTAGCAGTACTGCTACTGTCAGTAAAAGTACTGCTACTGTCAGTAAAAGTACTGCTACTGTCAGTAAAAGTACTGCTACTGTCAGTAAAAGTACTGCTACTGTCAGTAAAAGTACTGCTAGTTGCAGTAAAAAGGAAAATTTGAGAGGGTTTTCGACGATAAAGTACTGCTACTGTCAGTAAAAGTACTGCTACTGTCAGTAAAAGTACTGCTACTGTCAGTAAAAGTACTGCTACTGTCAGTAAAAGTACTGCTACTGTCAGTAGCAGTACTGCTAGTAGCAGAGATTTTTATCGTTTGTGGTCCGACGGTTAAGCCACAAACGAATGTCCGACGTCCCACCAAAAAATATTTTTTATTTTTATTGTAAGAACTGAAATGACAGTCGAAGCAAAAACGTTCACGAACAAATCTAATGGCGAAACATTCACAAAAGGCACTTACAACGGTATTGAAGTCTTACGTAGAGACAAGGATGGTTATATAAATGCAACAAAGATGTGTCAGCAGTTTAGGAAAGACTTTAGAAGGTTGTTGGAAAATAAGTCCTGGGAAGAGTATTTTAAGGCATTTTGTGAAGAATATACCAACCCGCGGAAAACGGCGGGTTGCTTTTTATACAAAGTTCATGCAGGAAATTCTTGAGTTTTGGTTGAAAGAATACGGTGGAGCCAAATGTGGCTCGACCTCAAAACAAGCATTTTATGAGCTTACAAAGGGTGTTATGAATGAATTCAAAGGTATTTGCATACATCCTGACCTCGTTCATTTTGTTCCCGGACCAAAAATAATGTTTATGTTAGAATGTTAGATCTAACATGTTTTCTAACACGTTTTCTAACATGGTCTAAAACTCTTGAATTTTCATGAATTTTCATGACTTCTTCGTAAATGTTTTGTCATGACTTCTTCGTAAATGTTTTGTCAAGACTTCTTCGTAAATGTTTTGTCAAGACTTCTTCGTAATGAGTGTAAAGGACCCAAAAATAAAGTTTATGTTAGAATGTTAGATCTAACACGTTTTCTAACACGTTTTCTAACCTCATGAATTTTCATGAAATTTACAGCAAAAATATATTTTATGTTAGAATGTTAGATCTAACACGTTTTCTAACCACTTTTCTAACATCGTAGAAAACACACAAAACTCTTGAGTTTTATACAGAATTCGGCAAAAATAATGTTTATGTTAGAATGTTAGATCTAACATGTTTTCTAACACGTTTTCTAACATGGTCTAAAACTCATGAATTTTCATGAATTTCCTTAAGATAGAAAAAATAAAGTTAGTTTTTTTAAAAAAATATTTTTTATTTTTATTGTAAGAACATGTTAGCAACAACAGCACCAAACTCGTTAGTTATGAATCCAACATCTATGTTAGTAGAGATGAAAAACTTCATTCCTTCTTCATATACTTTCGAAACAAAAATCCAGAAGATAAAGCAGGAACTTCTCCAAGGAGATTTAGACTGTACCGCACAGAATGAAACAAATGAACAGTATCTTTATGAAATGCAAGACCTCATCGACCATTTACCTAAACTTCCTGAAATCCAACAACAAAAGCTTACTATTCCAGAATTTGACGAAATAGAAGTCAAAGCAACTGACTCAGTAGAAATAAAGAAGTTCATACGAAAGGTAAATTATGAATTCCTTGGTTTTCATTGCAACCATAAGGTTATGGACAAAGATTGCGACATGGTATATAAGAACATCTCTGACATATATAAATCCGGGGAGTTTAAGACCTACGACAACTTTGTTTCGTTAGTTGCAAAATGTGTTTGGGAAATAAGAGATAAAGATAGTAGGGGTAAGGTATGGAACGAACAAATAAAACCCGCTATGTTCGAGATGAAGAAAACCATTGACGCCTTAGTTGTTTTAGCAGGTAAGGTTTCAGAATATAACGCAAAAATGAACCCGCAATGTTCAAAATGTAAAGCAGCAATGAGGAAATATAACTACTCCGTCAAAGAGATAGAACGTATGCGAAACGACTATGCAGATTTAAAGAAAGAAGCAGAAAAACCAGCAGAAGATAAAATGGACATGTTAGCATTTCTGAACAAAAACTATCCAACAGCAGAAGATTTCCTTCTATCTGACGTCAAGAAGAAGTATAAAGAAACTTTCGGTATCGTTAAAACTTTTGACATACTAAAAGAAGAAATAGAAGCTACAAAACTGTTTAGAGTCATGAACCATCGCAACATATACCATGTAAAACGCTTGTAAATAGTTATGTTAGAAAACATGTTAGAAAACATGTTAGATCTAACATTCTAACATAAACATTATTTTTGCTGAATTCCGTATGAAATTTCATGAGTTTTGTATGTTTTAGACCATGTTAAAAACATGTTAGAAACATGTTAGATCTAACATTCTAACATAAAATATATTTTTGTCTGATTTACGCTCATTACGAAGAAGTCTTGACAAAACATGTACGAAGAAGTCTTGAAATTTCATGAGTTTTGTATGTTTTAGACCATGTTAGAAAACATGTTAGAAAACATGTTAGATCTAACATTCTAACATAAAATATATTTTTGTCTGATTTACGCTCATTACGAAGAAGTCTTGACAAAACATGTACGAAGAAGTCTTGAAATTTCATGAGTTTTGTATGTTTTAGACCATGTTAGAAAACATGTTAGAAAACATGTTAGATCTAACATTCTAACATAAAATATATTTTTGTCTGATTTACGCTCATTACGAAGAAGTCTTGACAAAACATTTACGAAGAAGTCTTGAAATTTCATGAGTTTTGTATGTTTTAGACCATGTTAGAAAACATGTTAGAAAACATGTTAGATCTAACATGCTAACATAAAATATATTTTTGTCTGATTTACGCTCATTACGAAGAAGTCTTGACAAAACATTTACGAAGAAGTCTTGAAATTTCATGAGTTTTGTATGTTTTAGACCATGTTAGAAAACGTGTTAGAAAACATGTTAGATCTAACATGCTAACATAAAATATATTTTTGTCTGATTTACGAAGAAGTCTTGACAAAAACTATCCAACAGCAGAAGATTTCCTTCTATCTGACGTCAAGAAGAAATATAAAGAAACTTTCGGCATTGTTAAAACATTCGATGTACTAAAAGAAGAAATAGAAGCTACAAAACTGTTTAGAGTCATGAACCATCGCAACATATACCATGTAAAACGCTTGTGAAAAAAACAGGTTAGAAAACAGGTTAGATCTAACCTTCTACCCTAAAATATATTTTTATTGAATTCAGCACAAAAATCATGAGTTTCCTTAAGACAGAAAAAATAAAGTTAGTTTTATTTTTTTTTATTTTTTTATCCGGAATATAAAGACAGATATGTCAACAACAGAGAACACAACAACTGCTATCGTTCATGAAGCTATAAATGAAGAATACGAGTACATACAGTATAACAAACAACTCCGTCTCATTCGTTCGGTCAAAGATGACATGTACCAAATGCAAAGTATTTTGAATGCTCTTCGTTCTACAAAGCAAGCACGTCATTGGTTTGAAAACCAACAGACAAAAGAACTTTTAGAAGAATTTCCTCATATGTTTGCGACCGGTAGAAAACCGCGGGTCGAGATTCCGTACGAAAATCGTCAAAATTTGCCAAATGGTTTGAGAGGTTGGTATGTACATAGACTTCTTGTAAATGCTGTTGCAATGTGGGCTTCACCTCGTTACGCTTGTTATATTTTCATGATGTTAGATGAAATTCATAGACAAGAACGTGAAGAGCTAGAGAAACAAGCTTGAAGCAAAAGACAAAAACATACAGAAAAGAATACCACGTTCGGTACCAAAAGGAAAGGAAAAGAACTATAAGTATATGATTTACACTGAAGAGATGGAAAATGAAGAAGACAGAGATATGGTTATGTTGCATTTAGTCAGAAGAAACAACAAAAGCTTTTACGACCTTGCTAAGATTTACAAATCTGACAGAAATTGGTTCTATCGCGAAAACTTACCGATTTCAATGACTCCGAATGAAGATGTGAAACAAATAGTTCAAGATACGTTACCTCAAACACACTATGATATGAAAGGTTGTACAATACTTACATTTAAAGAAGATTTGCCATTGTTAAAGGAAAAAATAACAGAGTATTTTGACAACTTCAAACAAGCAGAGTAAATGAACCATTTATTTTTACGCTTGACTTCAGATGGCTCAGGTAGCTCTAGATGGTAAATTGTCTTGTCAAATCCTTCTGGCATTCCGAGTCCTTCCTTCCGACAAGAAAAAAATTTCCCGACAACTGGAAAAAAATTTCCCGACAACTGGAAAAAAATTTCCTGTTGTTCGTCCGTAAACCATTCAAATTTTCGAAAATTGAGAACTTTTTTCCCGACAACTGGAAAAATTTTTCCTTCAGACAGGAAAAAAATTTCCCGACAACTGGAAAAAAATTTCCTTCCGACATTCCGAGTCCTTCCTTCCGACAGAAAAAGTTCTTCCATCCGACAGGACACAAACGAATGTCTCACGTCCCTCTTCCTGAATGCCTTCCAAAGCCAGAAGAACCGACAGCCCCAGCACCACAACAGACTTACTAAGACTAAACACTTACATTTTTACGCTTGACTTTTTACAATTTGAACTTTGTTTGCGTAGATATGAATTCTGAAAGAAGTATGAGGGTCTTGTATGACTTTGTACTTCTCCCATAGTTCATGTCTGTCAAACTTACCTGCCATGGACTCTTTCATAAGTTCCATGAAATCGTCTTCGGACAATCCGGGGAAAAGTATGATATCAGTAAGTATTCTCTTTACATCCTTACTTAAACTCTTGGCTGTCTGTACACAAATGACAACTGAGATGTTAAAGTGTCTGAGCTTCTTAAGAATTCGACACATATCTTGTTCTCTGTTCTTTAACAAAGGATGAGAAGCAAAGTCATCTAAGATAAGAAGACACCTATGAGGGTATGTCTTCCAATCGTAAGATTGCAATTTCTTCGAAATGTATTCTATCTCTTTCTGTTTGTTTCTGAAGTGTTTCTTCTCTAATATTCTCTGCATTTCCTCATTTGGGTCTTTAAACTTAGAATTTATATACTCATTTATAGCATATACTTCAAAACTCTTCTTTGGTACTTCTTTATCCAATCTAACAACTCAGAGTCTTTTATACATACTAACTTAGACTTTTTTATAATATCTTTGAACGAATTTACGGTTTGGTCAAATTGACCAGAAGTACTACAAATAACAACTAACTCATAGAATGGGTTCTTCTCATCTAGTTCTTGTTGTTTGTGCAGCCATTTTAAGATAAGTGAAAGTCTTACCCGACCCAGGTGGTTGCGATTAGACCTGTTATACCATTCTGAGCAAATAAGAACTTGTCATGTATGGGTTTTATCTGAGCATTTTCTAACTTCCTCTTGTTCTTGTTTAAAACATTCTCAAATTTCTTGTCAATGTCAGCAAACTTTTTTTCTAACATATTTTAGAAAAATTAAAATTTTTATCTTTTTTGAAAATGTCTAGCGATTTCGCTATCTATATTCGAGACAAGCTTTTTGACAGCAAAACATCTGTCGACCATAAAATCTTACATAGTGTAAACAAGAAAGGTGAATTTGTTCTAAAGTTCTGTTTCTGGAATATGACAAGAAACCATAAAACATTACAAAGAGCAGTCTTAAAATTTGTCAATGACAGACTTGTTGACAGAGATGACGCCGATTGGAAAGATGAAGTCCAACAAAAGTTCTTAGAATGCAAAGAAGACACATGCGCTGTTCTTGAAGATGAAATAGAAAACAGAATAGATGAGCTATTAAAGGACAAAACTTTTACATAAATATGGTTGCGCCAAATTTGACATAACTCCACCAGAGAAGAAGAAGAAGAGAGAAAAGAAAGAAAAGAAAGTAGAAGAAGAGAAGAAAGAACCTGAACCAGTTCCAGAGAAGGGGAGATATGACATGTAAAAATAAAATTTTATTTTTAGAACATTTCTGGGTCAATGTCAATGTTCTCTTCCTCTTTAGGAGCAAACACTGGCTTAGACTCTAAAATCTTTTTACCCAACTTACCTTGAACTTCAACTATCTTAGACTCATAATATTCATAGTCGTCTGTCTTCTTTGGTTCATAAGGTATAACAAGTTTGTATGCTTTGCCTTCTTTAAGGTTTGAGAACCTTCTGTCAAAATTTTCTTTGACTGCTAACAAACCTTCTATGTCTAAGTCTTCAAATTTCGCACCATTTTTAGTCACAATAGCAAACTTAACGGGTTCGATGTTCCAAACTTTGTCATATGTAGACTTTTCAAAATGGTAGAAGTAAACATTCAAATAAGCGAATGGGTCTAGTTCTTCTTTAAGTCCTGACATATATTTGTTTACTGAGATGAATTTTGCCATCTTTTCTATCGGATAAAAAAATATTTTTTATAAAATTTACTCAGAAAAATTTTTCTTTGTATATACGCCATTCTGAACATCTAAAAGACTTTTGACATTTGCCAAGAATGTTCGTTTAGACGCTGTCATATAACCATATTCTTGACAATATTGTTTATACGAATCGTACAATGACCTTTCATCTAAACACTCAAAGTTAGTCTCATCTATAAACAGTTCATATACACTCTTGTTTGCTTCTAACAATGTTTGTCTTTCTTCGGTATGTGGAATTTGTCTTGGATTGAACTTTGAAATATCTAATGTCATAAAATATGAGAACAAGTGGTTGTAAAAGTCAGATGTCAAAGTTTCTGCTAAGTCGTCAAAATATTCTGTATCTTGCATATGAGCTTCTGACGTTCTGACAACTACATATCTTCTGTCAGAACTTTCTAACTTCATCGGAACAGTATTGTTTGAAACCATAATGAAGTTTGCAACATTTTCACAAACTCTTTGGTCTTTATATTTTCTTTCAACAACACCAACTTTGTCTGTTATAAGACTCTTCAAAGCATCTGAGTTCAAAACTTTTGTTGTATCTATACTTTGAAGTTCATTGCAAACTATAAGTTTCATATTCTCTATTGAAGAGTTAAATTTACCGCAGATGTTTTCTAAGTTTGTCATATTCGGATTCGAATAGCCCTCTAACAGTTTGCATAAGATATCTGTAAAAAAGTGTTCTTACCAGTTCCTTGTTTTCCAATTATAATGAGAGCAGTTTCATTTTTAGCACTTGGATGTTGTAAGATGTTTGCAAACCAACATAAGATATACTCATAGACTCTTTCGTTTCCATTGCATATAATTTCTTTGACATGGTCTAACCAAGCTTCTATAACATTTTCTTTCCATTCTACTTGTTCGTATTTATATCCAGTGAAGATAGAATAGAAGTTTGGAGAAGGTGTATAAAACTTTATACCACGAACTGAAAAATCTTCTAACTTTGACAATAAGATATCCCAAGCATCTAACATCTTCATGCCAACTTGTACGACTTTTATTTTCTTAAGTTTCTGTCTACATTCTTGTTCTGAAACTATTGTTGCTCTTGGTTTGTTAAAGACAACATCCCATTCTTTCATAACATAACATTCTGGGGCAGAGTCGACATAAATGACTAAACGTTTCAAATTCTCGACTGCTTTGTTATAGTCTCGAAATGGACACATATTTCTGAATGTTTGGAAGTCATAAAAATCTGAAACATCTATTCTGTACATTTTTATAAAAATAAAAAAAATATTTTTTTTTATTCTTGACTTTGTTCTTGAGCTATTTGTTGCATTTGTTGTTCTTGAGCTATTTGTTGTTGAAGTTGTTCTTGAGCTATTTGTTGTTGAAGTTGTTCTTGTAATACAATACTTTCACCAGTTGCATCTTCCAATTCGAAACTTTCTGCCGTCATTGACAAATACATAGGACATAAAAGTTTTACAGGAACAAAGTTTGCGTCAACTAATGTCAACGTTATACTTGCTAAAGTGTTTGAGTTTACTAAGGTTGAAAATTCTGCATTCGAATGAACAATAGGCAAACCAGCAGAGAAAGTGTTGTTTATACGCATAAGTATCTTTTGGTCATAGTAGTTTCTGTCGACATTCGAATAACACTTTGAACCTAAGTTTGAAACAATATATAAAATAGGTGTGCTTAAAGTCAATGGAACAGACATTCCTTGTATGACACCTTTTCCTGTTATAGGAAACTGTTGGTAGTAAAAACCAGATATAAGTTTTGTATTATAGCTCATATCGTTTATAGTAAACTCAGTCGGACATCCAAACATAATGAAACCTGCTCTAGTTGCAGCACATGTTACATCCGTCCTTAAAGTATTAAATAAGTCAACAAAACCTGTTGGTGGTATATCTGAGTAAGTATCTTCAAAGAAGTATTTTTTACCATTCACAACAACAAAGTCTTCTGGTGTCAAAAGAGCGCAAAACAGGCTTTAGTCGTCATCGTGTTTAAGGTTAGTTTACAATATCGTCCTTGAGGACTTTGTAAGTTTGTTGTTATAGAATTATATGACTCAGGGTTTTTAGTCGTAATAGTATAAACCACTATGTCTTCTGCCATTTACTTAGCAAGTAAATTTTAATGAAATGTTGTGGTCGTCAAATATTTTTATGACGTCTGGGAAACTATATTTTAAGTTCAACGTTTCACCTCCTTTCATAACGTATATCTTGTCAATGACATTATATGAAACACACAGCAAGCAATGTCGGGCTCTATTTCTTTGATGTTTATATCGTCTGCCTCTGTCAAAAGTTTCAATAGTTCTTTCAAAATTTCATGAGGTGCGATGACATATGAGTTCACTTTTACAGGGTTGTGTTCGACCAAGTTTAACATTATACCCAAAGCCTGACAAATCTTCTCCTGAGTTTTAAGTTTGTCTTTAAGTTGTTGGTAGTCGTTTCGAATATCTGCAACAGAACTTAAGTCTCTGCTAACTTCAGGGTATGTTGGTTGTTCTTTTACAGGAACAATTGCTATACCATCTTCGTCTTCGTATGGTTTCCCCACTTCAACATCTCTTTCTTTGACATTGACAACAACACTTTGACTGTTTGTTTGAGTTGGTGAATTTAACTTCACATCTGCCACCGCCATTAAACCTTTTGAAACACTTACGCTTCTATTTTTCGGAAATGACATTTTACTAAGAATAAAAAGATGGACGTATTTGAGTATCTCTTCGAATTGAAGTAAAACAAAGTTTACACACACAAACAATACAAATACATTGACAGAATAGTTCTTTATACAAACAATGGAAAATGTTATAGAATAGCAGTCTTTGCTGAACCAAAATATTTTCATAAAGCAAAGAAAGTTGGTATAACCGAGATGGTGAAAGTTCTTGAAGCAGACAAAAATATAACAACAAAACTGACCGATATTTCTAAAGGTAAGTTTATAATACAATATTATATCAAAACTGGCGTACTGTCAATATTTGACGGAGAGAAGTCAGTTCAAGAACAACTTACTGACCTGCTGCCAAAATCTGCTCGATGGAAGCTGTCGTTATGCCAATCTGAGGAGCCCCAGCAGGTTTCATCGAACGAATCTTCAAAAGAGCATCTTCCGTGAAAAGTGCTATTGGTTTTGTAAACTTC